ATCCTCGTCTATATCTTCCCGGTGGATCAAACACTCTTACTCTTAAATTTTATTTTCTTTCAGATACCACGTTTCATACCCATACAAAATGACACATAAAATTATAATTTATGACTTAATTTTCTTCTTTAGAATGAAATATGGAGGCTTATAATTGACACCACGCTCTTTGTGTGTGTCTTGTGCCTGTCAGCTTTTAGAGCAGTTGGCCGATTTTCACGAAACTAAGTATGAATATTATACGAAGTATATCCGGAAAGTAACGATACAAAGTCCAGAATATGTTTGTAAAGCATTTTTTGGAGCGATTCACTTGTGACACTTTTACAACACGCCTTTCTTTATTTTTCAACATAGTCACCATGGATCGCAATGCACTTACTCAGTTTGGGAAGTAGTTGTTTTTATTCCAGGATCGTAGAAATCTCCCGCCTGCTCTCTTAGACATGGAGAACAGTTGAAGAAAGCTGTCTTCTGGGTTTAGGCACCGTGTATTCTTCGTTTTGGCCGACGTTTCGGAGGAACGTCGGCCAAAACGAAGAATACACGGTGCCTAAACCCAGAAGACAGCTTTCTTCATTGTCATCGCCGTGAAAACCTCAAAACTTACATGGAGAACAGTTCTTGACACTTCTGGACATTGTTAAGAAAGTTCGTCCATAGCCGAACGTTTCTCAGCACGAATGCTTTCATCAGTTTTTTGATAACTTCATCAGTGACAACGCATGGCCTTCCACTCCTTATTTCATCATTAATATCGCTTTTTCCCGCTTCAAATTCACGACACCATTTTCACACGTTTTGCCTGTTCATAACAACTTCGCCGTAGACAGAAATAAGTTGGCAATGGATTTCAGCAGCAGTTTCTCCTTTCGCGTGAATAAATCCAATTACTGCAACAAGCTCATATTTGGCGGGATTTTGAATTGACACGGCCAGTTTAGACACACACTGCGAGCGCAACGTTGCCGTGACTGTGGCCGGTGAACTCAAGTCCTGTCATACAGTTTCCATCTCATGCGGCAGCACTGCCATTTCTGAAACAAATTCCCTTGCAATTTTACTGGACTTGTATCTTTACTTTCCGGATATCCTTCGTAGCATACCTGTAGGAGGCCATCCACATGCTGTGCTTTCTAATTCCTTGAAATCGGTAATAACGACATGGCGGATGAGCAAATTTGTGAGCTTGGAGGGACTTGAATTAATTTACATTAATATACCTTTGAATAAATATAAATTCTTTTTTATCAATCTTTTCGCATAATATAAAACAAGGATAAGGTGACCGAACGATCATGTTCCATACTTTCTGTTTGATGACATTATTTAACAAAATATTGGAAGTAGGTACATGAATTTGTAGAGAAAGAGAGAGATTATAAACGTACCCCTGCACATTGTATATATTTAAACTAGTACAAATATGGCGGTGTTTCGAATATTTGAGGTCATATCCCATAATTTTAACCAATATACAATACGCACTAAAGTAAAAAGCTCTTAAAAATAAGCTAATAATAGTGACACAGTAATAGATCTTTAAAGAAAAGAGTGTAGTGGGAAATTAGATTTTATGAATTATATTAGGGATGTCTTACTTTTAATTTTAAAGTAAGAGATGAGGATATAGGGGATTCTGACTTGGATGTTTACAGACTTTCGCAGTGTTAAGTCTTCTCTTAATTTCCTCATGGTCGTAATTTTCATTTGTTAATGTGGCCGTTCAAAATATTTGGAATTTGTCCTAGTTTCAAATAATTTTCTACCTTTCTTCATATTATATTACTGTCCTACATTCTGGCTACGAGACGGGGATATGCAGTTTTCCCTGTGATCACTTCCAGATCATTCTCTTTCATACCGTTTTACAGCGCTTCTGTCTTTTCATAATGTGTATATTCATATTTTCGTCCAGTACGGTTGTTATCCCTGAATTTCTCATATATTCAGCCGCAACCACATTATCACTGGTTGCGGTGTAAATTGTATTTGCGGTGTTTGAGTCACACAAGAACTGTTAAAGTGTGAATTAAATTGAAATATAAATAGGATTATTATGTTCTAATTAATCGTTCACTTGAAGTACTCACACGGGACTACAGATAGTTGATCCATTGAGACTGCTCTATTATATCAGAGTTGTGTTGTACAAGATATTCAGAAAAAATCTTGTAATAGTTATAATATAAATTTGCAGCATCCTCTTGCACTGCGTAGATCTGATTCTGCCATTTAGACAGAAACGTGTAGTGTCAATAAAAAGAGAGAGAATATTAACAGACGTTGCACATAGAAGGAAAAAAAAAGCGCAATGCAAAATCAGTTGTAACTCTTACTTAATACGTAGATATGGTTTATTCAAGTAGAATTAAGATACTTTATTTAAATTAAATGCATCTATTCTAGAAACTGATATTAATAGCAACTGAGAAATTATATTTAAAAGTAAATATAAAATTATTCCTGTTCTTATTTAAGGGCAACGCCATTCATGTTAAATAGTTGAGGAACAGGATTCTTAAGTTCGGTACTAGATCGAGGTGAGTGGTCAAGTTAGCGGACGAGCTTATCTACTCCACAGAAAGGAACCCTTGTCCCACTTATGTAGGAGGCTGGGCGTTGTGGAGAAGAGAACAATATGTTCCTGCCGGGAATCGAACTACACCTATTCCGTTATCCAACACGTAGGCTATCCACGGTTCCGACTGATTGACACGGTCAAAGGAGAGTACGTTTAGAATAAACAATTAAAGTGATTATTTTCAGCATGAAGTGCGGTGCCCCAGAAATTTTTAATATAAGGAAATGTTTGAGATAAATTTTATACACATGTATATATAATTCAGGCGAAATTGTGTACTCTAAAACAGACACTAATTTTAATTGTCAACTAAAATGACTATAAGGAATGCCCTCTTCTGAGATCTAGCGCCATGTAGATCTTGTATGAAGCGACGATTCGGAGGAATGTATTGTCTCCATTTTCAGGGTTGAAAAATCTACGAGCGAGGAACCAGCAGGCAGTTGGCTGCAGACTGAGCTACCAGTTGAAAACACCCATCTATATAAGAAGAGGAAGGGAGGGAGAATGGGCAGCATGGGAAATCAAGAGAGAGGAGAGGGGATGTGTCTGCAGAAGTGGCGAGCAAGTAGCAGGCCAGAGCCGGTGTAGGAACGTGTCGAGGGTGAAAAGGCAGGGTTACCGAACGAGCATTGACCCAATAACTTCGGGACTTAGCTGTCGAGCGTGCACTGACCTGCGCTGGTTCCTCGCTCTGCCCTGAAGATGGAGGCGATACGTTCCTCCGAATCGTCGGTTCACACAAGATCTGCAAGGAGCCACATCACAGAAGACGGCATTCTTCGTAGTCACTGTGGCGAAAATCTCAAATCTTGCATAAAATAGCTATGATTTTAAGTGTTCAAAACTATGCAATTAAAAAATGTTTAATTGTAGCACTTGGAGGTAACATGTTAATATTCAGACCAAGATATATCGATTTTAAAATATGTCTCTTGATGTATGGCTTTCTGTGGAGAGTTGCTGAAGTCTATTATGGAGAACGAAAGGTTAACTCTGAGACTTCATAATCAGGTTCTAAAATGAAGCACTTTTAAATTCTCAAGATTTTTCTCCTGTATGGATGTCAAAATCGAAACACCGCAAAGACGGAATTTTATGTAACTTGTCATGAAAGAATTCTCTTTGTAATTTGATTGGAATTTTCGATGTTTTATTACTTTATCACGGTGTGTAGACTGTCTTATTTCGCTTGCGTTCTGAAAGTACATATGTTCAGTCTGCGCGCATTCGTTGTCGTTGTTTTAGCATACATGTTTGAATATTTGCATATAAAGTAAGCTGTAGGATATAGAATGAACATTTAAACAACATCCCCTATTTATACTTGCAAACCGATACATATTTTTGGTTTCAAAGCGGAGAATCTGGAATATTGTCGCTATGCTGTATAGACAGAATAACATATTTGCTTGCCTGCGGAAACTATTGTAATGGAAAATTTTATAATTAATAAAATGTGAAAAATTTAACAAATTGGAATATTAACTCCTGCGTGCTTATCTTGGACTTTTCATACTACACTACTTAACACTGTAGGTACTCTGTATACAAAAATTGCTGATAACAAATGTTATTGTCATCTTACTGTTTGTTTAACGCTATTCATTTTCACTTTACATTACTGTATTCGTAGTCTAAGCACCCCTAAATACTGGCGATATCTAAAATTTCAGGAATAACAACATGGCGGGCTTCATACGCGCATGGATATTTTGCTTTCTACTGTGTAATTAGTTGTTTACTTATGAAACTGGGTCCAATTCTGTTTCAGAATAAATTATCACCACAAGCTCTATTTCAAAGAAAATAAGAAAAATCGGTTCGTTAGAGAACAAATCATACTTTATAAAATACTGTGTTCTCAAGTAAGTGTACATAATTTTACATGTATGTATTTTCAGTTCCCTGCATTTTATTTATTCAATAAGTTTAATGAGTTCACAATACGGAATTTGTCTACTTTTTTTTTGTCAGAGTTTCTCGGAGAGAGTTTATATATTTTGCCTGTGATTGTGATTTGAAGATTATGGAGAAAAAAATTAGACGTGAAATCAAGAAGAAATTAAGGATAAGAGAATAAAATATTCCGTAATAATATTTTTATAACTGTTGAATAAAAATTATCTTAAGAAATCAAATCATTTGCAGCATAGTTTAGAGATGATATAAACAAATAAATAAATACATTTTATATATTTACTCTTTTAATAATTTTATGGAAAAGAGGATATTTTGCGCGCTTTATCAATAATTAATTAAATTCTCTAGAACACAGTATACTCGGAACTTATAATGTTTAAAATCAAAAGAACGTGAGATACGTATAAGGAGATTTGAGGTATGTAGCTAGTAAAGCAGCAGATCTCACATACACAAAACACTAAGGCTGCTTTCGTCTCTTTCCAATTACCAGGAGCCGAGTCGTGTAATTCGATTGTGTACAGCGAAGAATCAGCCCAAGGCCTTCACCACTCTGCTTTATCCACGCAGCGTCACCCAATTTCCTGTCGAGATGTAACGAGGTAGTGAGATGGATTTGTTCCAACATTCGACTGGATTATAACTTAGGTGTTCCATAACAAGACATGGCGCGTTTGTGCAAGTAAGATTGAAAGATTTGTAGTAGAATCTATAAATTATGAACCTACAATTGGTATTTCATTGGAAGAGAATTGAGAAATGTGCTTTCTTATTAGTTAAGAGGAAAATTTACGGGGTTGCATATGTTATCGAAGATTGCTTGTTTAATTAACAGATTATATATACAGAGTGCGTCAGTGAATCGGGCGATTTTAAAAAACGTCATGAACAGTAAACTATTGCATTTATTTAGTCTCAACACCCATCAATACAGTGTAAACGTAAAGGGATTTGATTTTTTTCAATTACTTCACTGAAAATAGAAGTTTATTTCACAAAAATAACATCGGACAGATGACCACCATTCCACAGTATGCACTCAGTAAGTCTCTTCCTAAAGTCACTCAGTACTCTTTGCAGCAGCTCTACGGGAATTCCTGGTCCAGTCACAGTTACAGCCCTTTCCCACTCATCTTCAGGTAAGTACGGGCAAATAATTCCAAACGAAGATATCGCGCACCATACTAAGATTTTGGAACTGTGGAGTGGTCTCTCATAAATTCCTTTGGGGTTTGTGGCAGACCAATACCGGAAATTTTGCTTGTTAACAAACTGCGACAAATGAAAATGAGCTCCATCATTCATCAGTAAGTTGTTAACATCTTGGTTTTGATTAATTAATAGCAAAAAATCTGGCAGAAATGAACTCTGTTTTCCTAGTCGTGTTCGTGTAGTGCATGAGTAATTAGAATTGTATAGGGGTAGAAGAACTAGTGGAATGAGTCTATTATTGTACCAGTTCACAATAAGGGTGATACCTTCTTGAGTACCTGCAGAATTTTCGGCTCCTCCAGAAAGGCTCAGCTCCATGAGTAAGTGAGTAAGATAAGGATAGAAGCGGAGATCTTTGTGCAAAATCGGCCGAACGCTGGTTTCGGATAGCCCGAGTGGTGTAGCGTGGCGATGCGCAGACCGGCGTGGACTTCGTTCAATGGCTTCTCTCACTGCCGCTACAGTCTCGGGTGTACGTGCTGTGTTTACGCTACCGCCTTTCTTCTTTAGTGTAGAGCCAGTAGCCTCAGAGTTCTGAACCCAGGTCTTGATGGCATGGACAGATGGAACAGCACCATTGCGGTAAACACCAAACTCTCTTAGAAATTCACGCTGAGCGATCACGAAACTGTCACCGTTTTGCTAAAATGTTTTAGAACAAAAGCACGTTGTGCTCAGTCCACGACTCCATTGCAACTAAAACGCATTGAAGTAGGCTGCTGTGTGCAGTAGTGGCATCCTGCCCACTCCAACCAGCCCAGGAAAAAACACCGCTGCCAAATTGCCCGATTCATTGATGCACACTGTATTTCAAATGAAAGTTCTAGCTAAATTTTATATCTAATTCATAAAGATTTTATATTTCTCTGTGTCTCTAAGAAAAATAGTACTTATATTATCATATTTACTTGTGAATTGATCTTCAAATTACTTAACACTTTACTGAGCTTAACGTTTTCTTTGGATACTTGTATAAAACGGAGAACCTATTCACAATTTTTATAATTATTTGCACATGATGATGTTACTAATAATTATTATGGTGATAGCTTAACTCGTTTATTTACTTACATGTTTACATAACGGCCCAAAAGCCCATTAATAATTAAATACGAGCAAAGAGAGCAACAAGAAAAAATACAAATGCTTACGAACCAAAGACAAAAAAACAATGTGTATTGTTTAGGCAGTGACCGCTCAATAATTGCAGTTACACCAAACATAATGCGGTGACAAGATATATGTATGTATGTATGTATGCAATACAACCGTTTTAAAAATTAAGAAGTACGATTATAACAAATAATTTAGAGAAACGGGTTTCCTTCTAAGTATATCAACGTCCCTAAAAAGAATATTAGTTGCCGAAGCGCATCTAGTAAAATTATTTTCATTAGAAGGGCAGACTTTTAACGTAATGCAATGACATTTAATTCAGTTCCTTTGTTTATGTGCTTGCCAATAGCGAAGGGCCTGTAACAGGCGATCGCTTACAGTGTACGTGACGAAAGCTGCACTAAGGCTACAACTGGACAAAAATTTAGTACAAGGAAATAAAATAATATATATAACACGGTAATTAAATAAATCGATAATTACATAACTCAGTATGATTAAGCAGAGGAAAATGTATCCTAACGGGAGATGTTAATTGAAAACGTCCAGAGATTTGCAAACGATGTTTGCAACTGTGACGCACCTTGTTGAGGGTCTTGAGACATTATGGACATTAAAAGGTATTTTTTTTCTAATTTGCTTAGTGGATGCATGGAGACAAACAGTGTCCATAAGCGAACAACAGTCAATTTTGTTCTTGAAAACGTTAATAAGAAATAAAGCACAACGATTTTGTCGCCAGGAATAAATCTTTTTCAAATGTAAATAATTTGACATTGACTCATAATTTCAAAATAAGTAGGGCTGAATAAATCGATTATGGCATGTATTTGCAAAATATCTTTTCTAAAGTGAGGTTATTCCAGACTTCAGACGCCTACTCAAACTCTGAAATAATTATGATAATTTAGAGAACTTTCAGACTATCCAAAGAAGGAAAATTATATGTCAAGAAACGAATTAGTTTTTACAGCTTTAGTGCCCGAGAATGTAAGCCCTCGTGGTCAATATGACGATGAAAATGCAATTTGCTACCTAACATAACCCTAAGATCTTTTACCCATCAGTTTCGCTGTTAGATAATCACCCACAAAACCATTAAAATGGATGCTGTTAGTTGCACGAGTAAAAGAATTTATATTTGCTTTGAACAATTTAATTCTCATATACGTTTCAGTGCACCACTTCTGTGCGAAGTTTGTATCGGATTGTAGTAAATTACAAACCTCTACAGATTTTATGACAAGAAATATTGTTAAATCATAGGCAAATGACATGAATTCGGAAACATAAATCTTGTCCCATAAATCATCATTAAAATAGTCAATAATAGAAGTTACAAAGTGGAGCTTTACAGCACTCCTGACAACATGGAAGAAGTGAGGAGGACTTCGTTTAAATACGAACAGAAAATCTGCTTGATAAGTATTCGGAACCCATTAACATAGGATCGGAGAGTCGAAAGATCCTGAGTAACAGAAGAGTATGGGAGAATTTATTAAAGCCTGGCTGGGATAAAAATAAGTTTAATTGGTCTGCCCTTTTGAAGAGATACAAAATGTAATACAGTTTAAGTAAGTAAATTGGTTGAAGTAAACTTCGGTTTGCCGGTCACGGTAACCGAGCGGTCAAAGGCATGTACTGTCTTTTCTCGCTTGGAAACCGGGATCGTGGGTTCGAATCCCACTCAGGGCATGGATGTTTAGTTTGTGTGTGTGCGTTTTTCTGTGTTTGTGTACAGGTAGAGGCCTTGCGACGAGCTGATCACCCGCCCAAGGAGTCCTACCGAATGTGTAAGATCTAGAAAAACCGAAGTGAACGGAGAAGTTCATGGAGGTAGGCTTAGGCCCACTAGGACTGTAGTGCCAAGGAAAAAACTTTGGTTTAATAGAACCATGCTGAGATCCGAGATCCGAGGAGATCCGATCATGAAATTTATTCTAAAGTATTTTGGAAAAATTATTTAAAATTGTGATTGCTCTGTAATTACTCATATTAATTGGAGCAATTTTACCATTCATGGTAACAGGCATGAACCAATATAAAAATATTATTCAAAGGAGGGAAAAATATTAGTGGTACCTTTTAATGATAAAACTGGGGATTTCAACTGCACCGACATATTTTTTCGGGCTGAGACGTCGAACTGCCTGCTTAACGTCAAAATGGAAATCAAAATAACGTTAAAAAATCAGAGATAGCAAAACGAGCTTTATTTCGAATGACAACAGAAGGGGGAGAGTTAAAAATGCAGAGAAAAATGATGCGCAAAGGCTTCAGTAATAATTTTCACAAATTTTGATTTCGGTAAAAACATGATTATTCTTTCTAAAGTTAGAGACATATTTCCAAAAGCCTTTAGGTTTAGCATTTAGTTTGTCATCTATAGATTTTAACCTAAGAAACCTGGTTGGGTATTTTAACCAGTTCGCAATAATATTAAAAATAATACGTATAAATAAAAATCATATTAAAAATCGGCGTTCGATTTCTTGTGTCTTCAGTAGTTTTGGTTATTTTTCTCAATTTACCTAATATTTTAAAAAATTAGAAAACCAATGCGGAAATATCGAATTTATTGGCCTTATGCAAGAGATGGCTAAATTTTTAGCTTCATGTACCATAGCAGTGAGATTATTCGCTGCAGATTCGACAGAAGTTACATTTAGAAGAGAAGACCAGTCAAAATGACGTAAGACACTATAGAGCAACCTTCAGTATAGCTGCGATTAGGGACCAGGGAGATTATGCTACACTGAAGAGATGATGATGATGATGATGATAATAATGATTATGATAATAATAATAATAATACAATAATTCAATTCATGTTTATTTACTTGCAAACTTAACAGCACAAAGTCCAATTACCAATTGCACGAGTACATAGAAATACATAAAATAATTTAAAAACAAAATACAAAATATATGTCTATATAATGACAACAGATTAATAATAATTCCAAGAAAATTAATGTTAGCTTTAACAAGAGAGAAAAATAAAATAATACACACGTAATATTAAGAGTATTAACAAATATTATTAACAATTTTAGGTTCAATGTATTTGACAGAAACTGTTCTGATTGCAAATATGTCGAGATCTTTAACCCCCGCATTGGCAGCACAGGCGCACTGAGTAGGACGGTGTTTATTAGAGGGACAAACACCAAACAATGATAAGTTCCTAAGATTGCTAGGAGGAACGCGAAGGCTAATATTTTCCAAAAGAGAAGCGCAGGATTTAAGACCACGAAAGACCTCAACAAGAAAAAGTGCATCAAGGTGATGTCTCCGTTTATGTAAAGACTGTAGACTTAATTTCTCTAAAGCATCAGACTAAGTATACGGAAT